CAGTAATATGTCAATCAAATATTTTAAAACTATAAGGAGGCATTTAGCCTAATGGTAAAGTGCTCACACTCCACACTGCAGTACCAGGGTTCAATTCCTGCCTGGCTCCTGATTCCAACTAATGCAGACCCTAAAAGACAGTAGAGATGGCTCAAGTATAGGGTTCCTGATACACACATGGAGACTTAGACAATGTTTCTGGCTACTGACTGCGGCCTCAATTCCAATCGCAGCCCAGACCCAGCTCTAGCCACTGTAGACCTCTTGGCAATGAACCAGAGGATGGGAGCACCATCTTTCTGACTCTGTATATCTCTTTCTCCTTCTCAAATTTAAGTAAATAAGAAATTTTAAATATTACAAAACAAATAAATTTAAAACAAAGCCACAAAGACTAAACTTTAATATAAACTGTAGACTTCAATTAATAATGCTACTTGAATACAATCTTAATAATAGAAATATTTTTTGTAGGTGGGTTGAAATGTTATATGGGGATTCTCTGTACTTTCTCTTACATTTTTCTCTAAATCTAAAACTGCTCTAAAAAATAAGTGTATTTTTTTAAAGAAAAGTATGTTATGATAGGAAATTCACAGCTTTGCCAGGTCAGACTGGTTATTCTCCCTTTGCATAGTAGTAATTATGGGGAGTTGAGAAGAATTCTAACGAGAAAACACAGATGCTGGGAGTCTGCTATCCAGACAAGTCAGTCCCCAGGGATGGTACAGCAGTGCCTCTTGTAATCAAAGGGAAAGAAGGAGTGAGACAGAAGATTCTTTTGAAAATACATAATACCTTCCCTATCCAGGAGCAACAAATCAAATTTCACACTGCTGGATTTTGACACTAGCAACATTATTGTGATGGTTTATAATTTTTGAATGTACTTTCACTTTTGGGTCCTTGTCATACATGTTGTTTAATCTACTCTACTACAGCCCAAGCCTCATATTTTCAGAACACTTTGCTGTTTTTCACTTATGCTGTTGTGGTCTCTCCTTGTGCTCTTTCCCCTAATTCAGAATTGAATAATTTCCCCGGACAATAGAGGTTGTGAGGTTTAAGAAAGGGAGTGCCCATTGAATCAGTCTTACGGATGGAAGGAATATTAGATATCCGTGGATTTTCATGAGATGGAGACACTGGAAGCCTAACAAACTGGCTGCAGCACTGGGACAGTGAAGTGGTTCATTTGGCTGCTTAGACCTGCTACTCCTAGGAGAATCCCATAAACAACAAATGAGATCCTCACAGCCACTCAATTCCTACATTAACCCACTGTTCCTTAACATCAACTCCCAAATTGGCCCTTTGTTCCTCATTTCTGACATGTACATGTCAAATCCTGTTTTGATATCTCCATATCTTATATATAAAGATTTATTTATTTGAAAGGCAGAAACACAAAAAAGAGAGAGAGATCTTTCATTGGCTGGTTTACTCTGCAAATGGCTGCAATGGACATGACCTCCATCTGAGTCTCCCAGTGTACAAGCTGCGGCTTACCCCAGTGAACCACAATGTCAGTCCCTACCCTGTGCCTTTCTTACCCTATAGTCTTCTTGAAGCTTTCTGCTCTCTTCCAACTCCAGCAAACTCTTCATGGAACACCAGTCAAATTTTCCTAATCATAACAATTTCTACATGGCTTTTGTTATATATGAAAAATATAGCCCAAAACTTTCAATAAAGCATTATTTAAGGAAGCCCACAGTTTGATTCCTATCTATCCATCCATAACCATGAATACAATGGCCATTCATACTATTTTGCTTCTTGCTTTCTACTCCAAGCACATCATATTCAACCTCTTTTTGTATCTTTCCATACACTGTCCTCCTGGATGTGCCCCTGAACTTAATGGACAACCATCAGTCCCTCCAGTCCACATGAATTTCTCCCTGCCCTATAAAGCCTGTTCTGAATGCTGAATAATAAAAGAGAGATTCCAGAAGTTCACAGAACATGGGATTAAAAGACTTTTTGAAGACCCCTCATACTTTGTTTTCATTGAATTCTCAAAAGCACTTCTTGTCTGCAGGATTCAGTGGATACTTTGTGTAAGGGTTCTACATCTGTATATGATTTATAATTTACTTATTGTATCTTTTGATGTAGATTTAAGCTCCTTAAAGTTAAGAGTCTTTTTTACCTGGTTTTTATCAATATTGCCCAGAGTGATGATCATTGAGAATTTATTTTTGTGAATCATAGTCAGATAAGATGCAAAATTACAGATTTGGAATCTTTCAATACTACAGTGCCAACTTACAGAAAAATTCTTTAGCATTTTCCAAAAATAATATATTTTAAAGTTGAATGACAGTTTCCTTGAATCAATGTCCTTTGGGGCATGATCCAAATACCAAATGTAATATTTGACTTTATACAGTAAACTTCTGTCAACAACCATCTAATATGCAAATCACTTTTGACATCCTTCTTCTATATTTGATAAGAATTCCCATAACACCAGCAGAGTTGGAGAGTGAGATTTTTATGTGAATAACATCTCTAAAGGCTGTTTAACATAAAAAATTCAACACTATTCATTAAATATTCTTTTGTAAAATGTGATTAACAATTTTATCTTTTTTCTGTATATTTAAAAATATTCAATTTTTATTTTCTTAAGCTTCATATCATTTTATCATATCCAAAGTTTTTACTTTGAACATCCTTTTCCTCATAAGGAATATGCTTACAAGGATTGACATTAGAAATTATATTGTAATTTTGAAATTTTTCCATTAATAGTTTTTAGAAGAATGATTTATCAGCCAAGAAAACAGTATGAAGTATGATGACTTACCATATGTTTCAATAATTATGTAAAAATTCATGACAATCCTGGGATAAAGGTCAGTCATATACATCAAAATTAATCTGTTTCATCTAATACTGTTTGAGCTAAGGAAAAGAATAAAAGCTATAAATCCTTTCAATATTTTCAGTAAAAGTTCAATACAGTATAAAAATTGTAGACCTTAAGCCTTTAGTCCTAAAATTTTTTATATAAGTTAAAACATTACAATAATCAATAGTTTGAGTGTTGCACAGCTGGAATACAAGTTATATCACTGTAATCATATTACTAACAGAGAGGGAAAAATCACTTGTTTAATCATTGTCCACCAGGGCAGACAAATATTTACTTTTCTACTCATAATGCATGGTAGAGTAAATTCAGTCCATCAATATTGTTGAAGGCCTATAAAAAGTTTACAAGATGCTTAACTCAAACCGTAGAGGAGTCTTCCATATCAAGTGAAAGCAGCAAGAAAGATATGAGGAAAGTTTAGTATATCATCATATGCAAAACTATCATCTCAGTGTATAATTTCATTAAATTATAAAAATGCAAATGAATATTCTAAAACCATAACTGGCTTACTCTAATAAAGACTTTTTAATAATGCTAGATTTAATAATTTAGCTTGATTTTTTTCCCTTTAGCAGTTATTACATCTACCATCATTCTAGTTTATGTAAATATATTGTTCTCTCTTTTTTCCCATTTCTGCCTTGAAAGTATACTTCCTGAGAGCAAGTTTTTTTCAAGTTGAGGTAACCACTAAGTCTCTCATACTTAAAAGAATACATGGAGTCCACAAAATACCTTAAAATGAATATTTCCCTAAATCTTATTATACAGAGTCACAGTGTTAGGATAAATTATATAAAATGCAAATTTGAGATTAAAAATCATAAAGAATAATCACCAAATGTAAGAAGTGGAAAAAGTCTTTAATTATAAAAGAATCTCATTTCAACAACTTGTTTTACTGTGGTAGAAATCAAGATGCAGAAAATTAAGTGACTTGTCAGATAACAGATCTTTGGTACTGAAAGCCACTTTAGATTTCGTGTAGTCCAAAATCCAGGTGCTTCAGTGACACAGTCTGTATTTACTTACCTGCCCTGAAAGTATTTTCACTATCTTGCATGAACATCACATTAAGTTTTTCAAAATCATTCTGTGAGAGACTTCTTTCGCCTCTGTAATTAAGAGTTCTGTCCTCTAGTCCTCCTTATAGCCTTTGGTGATACATGATCTATCTAGATCAGCATTTATCACGAGAAAAGATAAGGAACAAAGAGGTGCTAGGGGAAGACTGCAGCCTATAACCCTTATTCATCAAGAGACACAGTTTAGACTAGTTCTGCATTAAAATTAGAAATATAGACACACATTCACTGATGTATACATATGTAAAAGATAGACATACATACACATACATAAGCATAAAATTATAATATGCAGGCACACATTATCTATGCATATGTGACACAGAAAGGTAGTGTAGTTACTGTTTTTGTCTCACAGGAGAATCATTAAATGAGTATATTTAAAAATTATACCATACTTTTTAAACTCTACCTTCTCTTTGCTATTTTCTACTCTATTAGGATCTGCAAAAACAAAACTGCGTTGCATTCATCTTATCTTCTAAGATTCCATATCTAAAATATTTGCAGAAAGCCCTCCATTATGACTGTCCAACTAAATATCCCTAATACCTTGGTTGTTTCAAAGTCTGTTTAAATTGCACTCTCCTCTGAATATTAAACTTATTTAATGTCATATATTATAGTTTCTAGACTTAAGCACAGTATTCTAGATGTGGTCTTACTGGGCCAAACATGACATAAGTCAGTCTCCAGATCCATTCAAGGAAAGATATTTTTCTCAGCACAAACTATCATTCCATTTGCTTTTTTGCAGCCATTTCACATTTAATTCGCATTTAATTATTGTAATTCTGGGTCATTTTCCAATGCTACTACTAAACCAAATTCTCTTTATTCTATATTTATGCAGTTGAATTTCTATTTTTTCAGGAAGGGTATGGTCTGGTCTTCAAGTTGAAAATATTTTAACTGCTTTGCGGTTTTTCAGTAATGCTATGTTCACAGGAAGTACATATTCTGAAAGTTAAACAACAAAAACATTTAATTGGGGGCAAAATGTCTAAATTTTGGAACATACAGCCTACCTGTAAAAACCTGGAGGCACCTTCTTGACCAGGAAGCTTTTCTCCATGTCTTGGAGAATGTCATTCAGCATTCGGACACGAACGGGGACTCTTTCCTTGGGATCATTCGCAGGTCGCATCTCATCTGATTGGAAGAGTTCGGCGCTCTCGCGCAGGCGTGATGCTATGGCTAGCAGTTGATGGGTGCTGGGTTGATCACCTGGTGAAGAGAAATGAGCTCATCTCATAAGAGACATTCTCCTAGGCCAAAATAAACATTTTTACAATCATGACTCTAAGTTATAAACACGGCAGACCACTGGGTACGGAAGAGATTCCCTTCTTTTTTTTTACTTGACCAAAAAAAAAGTGCATATGTTCTTGATTCTTGCCTGTCACAGCGAAGAACTAAATTTTGATGGCATATTTACTCTGCCAAAAGCATTCTGTCTAAACTTGCTTTTCTATTGTATTAAATTAAGTTTCTTACTGCCAATACGACAGTAAGTAGGTAGATTGTTGAAAGGATGCTGTTTAAGACACTGTGTTGAGCACCTGATGTCATTGATATTCACCAAACTTTGAGCACCATGTCCATTTCATTGCAACTGGGAATTAATTAAGGTAAGGAAATCGTCATAGGCTATCAAGAATGAAAATAACACTGCAGCATTAGAAACCAACCTTCTGACTCAAAAATTCATGTTCGTCATGAAATTATCCTGTATTTCAGGGAAAACAAAAGTAATAGAAGTTGTTCTCTTCTGAGGACATAAAATATATTACCACATGATGTTATGTGTCTATGGGGCTTCTTTTTCTTTACTAGATATTTCAGGTAAGGTGAAGTTGAAATATACCTTTGACTTAAAAATACACTAAAAACTATCCTGTGTGGTGTTTTATTGTTTTGTTTTTGAGATGATATATATTTGTTTTCATTGCTTTTCCATTTGTTATAACTTACTAGTTGTCATTCTGATATGAGTGGTGGCTACTGAGTCTCAGTATAAAATGAACTTAATACTTCTTTTTTTTTTTTTTTTTTTGATAGGCAGAGTGGACAGTGAGAGAGAGAGACAGAGAGAAAAGTCTTCCTTTGCCGTTGGTTCACCCTCCAATGGCCGCCACGGCCGGCGCACCGTGCTGATCCGAAGCCAGGAGCCAGGTGCTTCTCCTGGTCTCCCATGGGGTGCAGGGCCCAAGCACTTGGGCCATCCTCCACTGCACTCCCGGGCCACAGCAGAGAGCTGGCCTGGAAGAGGGGCAACCGGGACAGAATCCGGCGCCCCGACCGGGACTAGAACCCGGTGTGCCGGCGCCGCAAGGTGAAGGATTAGCCAGGTGAGCCGTGGTGCCGGCCTTTAATACTTCTTTTAAAATAGGTATTAAATGATTAATACTCTAAGGGTGAATGTTTCCTTCCCAGATGTATGCTTAATCATACAACTGAGAGTGGCATTCCCACATCATCTTCTTCCAGATATTAGTCTTTAAGTAAGATTAGTCTTTAAGTGAGACAATTCTTAGTGACAATGCTAAGAGACTCAGTACAACTCTCTCCAGTAGATCAGCACATCACTACAGAGGATTACTTCAAGTCATAGTAATGAATGAAGACGGACCTGCAAAATCCAAGCTGGCAAACCCAAGAGCATGAAATTGAGAAAGCCAGATGGAGAAATGAAGAAAGGTCTTGAGGAGCTGGTGCTGTGGCTCAGAGCATTAAAGCTGTGGCCTGTAGCACCAGCATCCCAGATGGGTGCAGGTTTGAGACCCAGCTGCTCCACTTCTGATCCAGCTCCCTGCTAATGTGCCCAGGAAAGCAGCAGAGGATGGCCCAAGTCCTTGGGCCACTGCACTCATGTGGGAAACCCCAAGGAAGCTCCTGGTTCCTAGCTTCAGCCTGGTCCAGCCTTGGCTGTTGTGGCCATTTGTGACCAGTGGATGGAAGACCGACTCTCTCACTCTCTCTCTTTTTCTTTCTCTCTCTGTCTCTCACTGTAACTCTGCCTTTCAAGTAAATAATTAAATAAATCTTTTTTAAAAAAAGGCCTTAGGGTGTATTTATCAAGAGGAGAGTTAGACAAAGAGGACAGATCACAAAAGGACCCTCTCCAAGTGAAGTGAGAGGTGGACATCTCCCGAAACACCTGGTCTTTGTGAATACAAATTCCCTGACCTGCTGAATCTTTGAGTGCAAAGTCCAAGAATCTCTGTTTCAACAACTTATTAAGATTATCTTAGTCATGCTAAGGTTTAAGAGGTATAAAGGTAATATGCTAAATAAAGGAAAACCACACCAGAGTCATGGCACAGAGGATCTACTGCCTGCAATGCCAGTATCCCCTAAGGGCCACAGTTCAGGTTCCAGCTGCTCCACTTCGGATCCCTGTTAATGTGCTTAGGAAAGCAGTGGAATATGGCCCAAGTACTTGGGCCACTGTCACCCATGTGGGAGACCAGATGGAGTTCCAAGCTCCTGACTTTGGCCTGACCCAGCCTCAGCTTTTGTGACCATTTAGGGAGAAAACCAGTGAATGGAAGATCTCTCTCTCTCTCTCTTCTTCTTCTTCTTATTATTATTATCTGTAACTCTGCCTTTCAAGTAAACAAGTAAGTCTTAAAAATAAAAAAAGGAAAATCAGGTTAGCTATATAACTGAGGCACAAATATGTCTGCCACAGAAATACCAATCTCTAATATAATAATCTTTATTTTTTCTCACCTTCATTAAGTCTTGTACAATGCTGATACTCAATGATTATTTGCTATGTTTAAAAAAATGTTTAGAAAAAATCCAGTACCAAAAGAAAATTATATAAAATAATGTCATTTTATATATGTTACAAAGAAATTCAAGGGTAGGTTTACATGGAATGTCCTAACAGAACAGAATAAATTTTTGCTATCATTATACGTCAACAAATTTAAAGATCATAATATAAATAGAAATAGTATTGAAGTTAATATGTAGTTCCCTTCTCACTAAATTAACAATTGTATAAAATCAATTTTAATTTGGATATTTCATTTTTTAAAAGTATATTCCACATTCCTAATTATCTGTAATTTCACAATAAAATGGGGTTTCAAGCAGTGGTATTTCTGTTCATTTTGAAAATCTTGCCCCCAAATAACATATTCAATGCCATTTTATGAAGATATGGTTTGTTTTAAAGTATGATGGTTCACCACAGGTAATGTATGGAGAACTGAGAGGAACTATCTATGCACAAGAAAAGAGTAAGATGGATTAAGGCACATTTAAATTACACTGGAATTGAAAGACTGAACAACAGAAAAAACAAGTTTGACATCCTTGAAAGTCTTCAATTTAAGAAAGAAAAATCTGTTCTGATCTAACATACACTACACAATTGAAGACATTACTACTGAATCAAGTGAGACAAATTGTACCATTCTCCCTTATTTAGCTGTAAATGAATTTATCTTTCCTGGTAGTACAAGGGTAGAGGACTGACAGCTTTAGGAACTGACTCGCTCCAAAAAGGACCCTCATAGTGGAAATCTGCCACCCACAACAAACCATAGGCATTATCTCAAGGGTATGGGGTTACAAATTGAAAAGCAGCTTTACTTTCAAGGCTCACATATTTGATACTTTAAAATTACTAGTAGCCATTTATCTTTCAATTAGAGCTTGTTCGTTTCTTTACATAAACCCAGGAAGAAATACTACCTTCTCCACTTTATCTTTTGGGACTCCAAACCACTGATCCTTCTTGCTCCTTAGGATCCCTAGAGCCAGGTCAGCTCTGTGAGGGAAGAGACTTCTATCTCTTTATTTACTGCATTTCCTTAGTACCTAACAGTTTACCTTCCACATAATTTAATCAATGAACTATTAAATTATGTACTTCATCACAGCATCATAATATCTGAAATATTTTTATCTACTGCTGCTTTGTTGTTTCCCTTCTTAATTGAAAATAAACCCAAGGATCAGCAAATAAGTTTTATCTATCTTTGTATCTCTAAATCCTAGCTAAATACCTCTTCTATGATAGTCACCTGTTGAAAATATTATTGAGGGAATGCTGAATTTTAAGGCAATGTCTTTTTTGAGATATAATATATTAAACATATGTATAAAACATTCAGGGACATGTTTGGTTCAAAAAGATCATCAGCAAATGTTATTTCCTTACTTATTTGGCTTAAATTCAATTATTATCACACAAGAAAATTAAAAAATTTAAAAACAGAAGAGGTTTTCTTAAGGGTAATAAGTAAAGCAAATTGAATTAAAGTATGTGTTAAAAATTCCCATTAAAAACTAAGAATATATAAAACTTTACTGAAGGTAACATGGATATCTTTGGACATTCATGATCATCGAGTAGAAAGTTAATTGAGGCTAACAGTTCAAGTTTTAGAAGTACTGAGTCCATTTTACCAAACAAAATTAACTGTAACCCAGTGATTTCTCTCAGAGAGGTTTAACACAATTATCTTTTAAGTTTTGTACCTGGAGTCTAAAAACCAAGGACTTGGTATCAAAGACTGATAAAAGCCAGGTCCTTGTAATAACATACCAATGTGGTTTTGAATGAAACTTTTACATCTATTGTCCATCTTATTATAAACACAAATTATGGTTAGTAGAGTACATAATCTAAACCCATTATAACCACCCTATTTTTTGAGATATAAAAAAATACAGTAACAGTTTACTGATGAGTTTATTCTCTAAGATATTACTCCTTAACACTTCCTCAATCTGTCCCCTTCAACTGTACCACAGTTCTTCCCATATACATTTTAATAAAAATTCTGAATTTTATGAATCTGGATTTTTCTTCCCATGGCATCTCAAGAACTGAAGAACAAAGAAAAAATGATATGAAGGGTAAAGGAATTTTAGAGTCAAACTTTAAAAATTATTATTTTATAATTTTGCCCCTGATAAGAAGTCGATCATCAATAACATTTTTAGCATAAGTAGTATATAATGATTTATCATAAATAAAGAAAATCAAGTTTAATACAATACAAAATAACTTTGTCTTCCTACTGAAATTATCTTGTATTATTCAAAAAACATTTGAAATGCACTTTCAAATTTCAAACAGAAGAATTTAGAATTTTTTCCCCTTCAATTCAAAGTAAAATACATTTATTCAGTAAATATTTATTGACTCCTATTTTGTGTGTTATTCTGTAAGTACAAGGAAACAAGCAAAACATTTAAGATTA